TCTAGGTGTCAGCCTCCTGTCTTAGGTTGATACCACTGCAATTGGATCATACCCGTCACTGACTACCGGTCCAGCATACAGCCATACTTGTGGATAGGCCTATGCACCAGTGGTGGGGGGGGTGAGGTTCTTGCCTCACCTCTGTTGGCCCCCAATTTTGCCCTTGGTGCCAGTGGGGGGGTGAGGTTCTTTGCCTCACCTCTGTTGGCCCCCAAATTTAGACCATCACTAGCAGAAGGGAGGAGGATACAGAAATGCCACGACACCAAGCCAATTGATGGCTCCTTTGGAAAAATTGCATCACTGGTGACACCATCAGCAAAGATATGCCAGCACTACCACAATTCGCTGCACCAAACAATAGTTCACAATGTATACAAGTGATACATAGTCCAGGCAAGTTCTGCAAGCAGTTCAAAGCGGAGGAGTCTATCAATATGTCCATTTCCTCCCAAAGTAAATCAAGTCCTTGATTGAGCATTACTTGTTGAGTTATATTCATTGATGCATCAGTTTATACAGTTTACTGTGATAGCTATCATAGAAGCTGTAGTCTGGTTTTATCTTTGTCTTCACCGGCACTGGGATGAAGATAGGAATTCTGGCAATGATGCTAAAGAGACATTATCCTGAACAGAATTATTAAATATGATGAAAAGGAAAGGTGAAAGTAAACAAACAGATCTGTTAACCTCCTTTAAAAACAATCTTTAACAGCTGTTTACCTAATTTAAATTAGTAAACAAACAGATCTGTTAACCACCTTTAACAACTGTTTACCTAATTTAAATTAAACCATTTAAATCACGTGAATAAAAAAAAATGATAATAATAATTCGGATCCATTTTTTCATGGGTGCTCCTCATATAAGAAATATGGACATACGCGCACACAGACATACAACACAAAACACAAATGTGCACACAAACATACAACACATAAGACAATAGTAAAGGCCTTGTAGCTTTACCTAGGTGAAATCTCCATTGCAATGTTTAAAAACTCCACAGTCAAAAAATAAAACTGATCAGAAAAACATTAACCTAGGTTTGTATGAGCTCAAAAAATAAAATAGAACTTTATGATGTGGGAAAAATGCAATAATAAAATAGATATTGAAAAAAGCACCCTGGTTGATCACTGTCGCAGATGTAAGAATGGCCAAGCTGGAGCCCTGGATATCAGCTGTTATGGATTTGAGTCAAAGCATCTTCTTTTTGGTCTGTAGAAATTGCTTTAGTTAATCTCTCTGGAATCCAAATCGGCTGCTGTTCTCCCTGTGGAAACACACAAACAGAACCCCGACTCCAGACAATCACTGGGTCAGGACCTTTCCATTGTCCTGTTAGAATATCTTTCCAAAGTACCTTAGGCTTATGTACATTTTTTTGGATACATATGCCTTTCCGCAGCACTAAGTCCTGATGAATCCAAATTTTAAAAGTTTAGAGTAAAAAGGGTTATTTTAAGTTTATCTTTGGGGGATATATACGCCTTAAAGATCCTTTTAAATTTAACTCTTTCAAAAGTATTCTGCCTTAGTTTTTAGAATTATTTTAGTCCTTTTAATTTTTGATGTGGTTTTAAACCAATTTCCTTCTGGTTTAATGTTTTCTAAATTGGCTCTTGTCTATAAATTTTAACACCCTCATCTGAGTCTTCTAATTTCTGCACCACCAGAAATTAAAGTTGATGGGCTTTTTGAAAAAATTACTAATAATCTCCTTGTTCTTCTATTTTATCCAATATTTGACTTCAAACTTCTCTCTTCTACCTTTTTCTATCTTGAATGTCTGTATCTAATAGTTGTCTTAGCTTTTTGTATTTTCTATCTGAAATACCTTTACTTGACATTTTCAACCATTTTCTATCTTATTTCTATCTTCTAGTTTTTTTTCTAAGGTTTGTATATTTACCCTTAGTTGCTTTTTTTTTCTCCCATTTTTTTTGTTTGTTTCCTATTTTGTGGGTTTAAAATTTTTGTCTTCCTACATCTTTTTTATCTTCCTACATCTTCTTTATCTTTTTTCTTTTTAACTTTCTATACTTCAGTCTTTAAAGTTTTTCACTTTAAATTTTTAATCTTCTTTATCTAAATATCTTTTATCCTATTATCTTCCCATTTTTTTTAAGTAATGCCTTTATGATTAACTAGGCTTCGAATGATGCAATCTTTCCTCATGAAGGCATTTTAACCACCTTCAATTTAACCTTTTAAAGCCTTTTGCAACTTACTTAGACATTTTACAACTTTTTACTTTACCACACAAAGATTATCTCATCTAGAAACATTTCTTTTTCTTTTAACCTTCCATATTAAAATATATTTCCACATCTTGAATCTTTTTTCTTTTTTCCGCCATGAAGGTATCTTGACCACCTTCAATTTAACCTTTTAAAGCCTTTTAATTATCATCTATACTGTACTTTTAAATGTACTTTTTCACCACCTACAACTTCACTCTTTTAAACGAGGCTTAGATTCTGTTTAAATCGCTTTAATGTTAGTTTACATGGCTGCCCTTCAACCAAAGGCTTTTTTTTCCCATTAAGAAGCTTTGTCTCAATCTGCCATGTACAAATACCTTTTTCTTCTTTCTTCCTTTCTCAAGCTTTTAAAGTAAGTCTAGTTTCCTCAAAATCTTTTTAAATGGCATTTTACAACTTTTTACTTTACCACACAGAGATTATCTCATCTAGAAACATTTCTTTTTCTTTTAACCTTCCATATTAAAATATATTTTCACATCTTGAATCTTTTTATATCTCTTTTTTTTTTTTCCCGCCATGAAGGTATCTCAACCACCTTCAATTTAACTTTTAAAGCCTTTCAATTATCATCTATACTGTACTTTTAAGTGTACTTTTTTTTTTAATGTTTTCCTTTACATTCCTTTTTTTTTTTCCCACATGGAAGGTTTCTTTTTTTAATCCTCTTGTGAAAACTTTATGTAAGTCACTGCAGATAAAGTTATTGTAGAATCTTCACACCCTTTGCTCTCACCCAGTCTTCAGCTCACTTCTTTTACATTATTGAGCACAGAGATGCAACAGCTGTTTTAAAAATTCTGTCTACTTGTTGGCAATGTGGCTCAGTGGTGAAGCATTTGTCTAGCATGCACGAGGTCCTGGGTTCTATCCCCAGCACTGCAAAAACAAAATCTTTTTGGCTAAGTCCCACATCTGTGTTATTACAGGATTGATCTGCATTGATTACATTTTATTCTTTGTATGATTACCTTTTTCCTCTTTCCTTTGTTTAATAATTTGGGTTTATATTATAGACACTATAAATAAAACATTGTAGAGAATGAATTTTGTTCTATTCTTCTGAAGGGTATTGATTGTTTTGTTAAACAAGCAATTAACTGGAGTCACACTCCAAATTCTGTCTCTAGGGATCCTTTATAAAAGTACAACATTTACTAGTGTCTGTATGGTCCATAGTGTCTGATGGTCCATAGGTTCTGGGCTAGATTTCTGCTCCCCAACCCCTAGAGTTTTATTTTTCTAAATCTACTGTTGGCAGTCCTACGGGACTGTTCCAATGTTATGTGGTCTATCTTGTGAATGTGCTTTGTTTCTGTATCTAGCCACTCCTGTATTGTCATTGTATCAAAGTAAGGAACTGGATTATAGTTGTGGAATAACCCAGAACAGACCGATTTTCATGTCTTCTTGTATATTCAGGACTTTGCATTTCTAAGCCATATGTAATTTCTGTATTGGAGCTAGGGAAACAGCCTTGGGAGGTGAAGAGCAAGATGACGAGAAGCCCCTTCCCAGGTGAGTGTGGGAGCACCAGATAGGGAAATCCCTTCAGAAAGTGGCTCAGCCATCTGCAGAGGTGGGATCTCCTCACTGGGACTTCTCAGAATTGCTTCTCACACCCCACATGTCTGGGGGAGAGGGAAGCCTGCTGCTGTCAAGTACCCCCAACATAGCCGCTTGCACTTCATTTTCTTCTTATAACTCATTTTGCACAAAACAAAAACAATAAAACCCGTTAAGAACTGGCCCGAGAAGTGGCACACCTAGGTTATTGAAGTAAGAAAACAACCGGAAAAATCCATCATCTGGTTAGGAGAAGATGGCCACAGGATCACCTCTACGTCCCAGAGGAGGTCACAGAGCACCATGTGTGTGGTTGTGAAGGATCTCCACAGATTTTTTTTAAACGATGTTTTTAGTTGTTGATGGACCTTTATTTTATTTGTTTATTTATATGTGATTCTGAGAATTGAACCCAGTGCCTCACACATGCCAGGCAGGTGCTACCCTACCGAGCCCCAGCCCCATCCCCTCTCTAGAGACTCTTGAGCAGCAGTAGTAATAAGACAATATTGGTATTTCAACAGAGAAACCTACTGCATATATGAAAATCAATTGCAAGTGGAAGAGAGCGAGCTTTCTGTAGTCCCCTGGGTCAACGTAGGCATAGAGTGTCATCAGGGTCACTGCAGGCTCCTCCTCCAGGATCGCATGTCTCAAGTCTTAGTCATTTTTTTCCATATCCTTTTATTTACTCTTATTCTCTGGAAACTCCTTGCGTATTTTCCACTTGAGATTCTGGTATTTAATAGATTCGCGGGCAAGGGTGTTCATGAAATAATTTTGAATTACCTTTCTCGCTGTGTTTCCATTGCTAATAGCCCGTGATAAAGGAAACCGTTGTTTTCACCATCTTTCAGAGGTGGAATGTGAGACACAGTGACTGTCTCTGACACAGTTTTTGTGTGATGATGTGTTAGTGGAGAGAACTACACACTCTCCACTTTGAAAAAGTTGGAAGTGTGAAGACCTTGTTGAGAGGCAGAGTCAAGAGACATTTAGCAGGAAAGGATCAGCTCCTCATAAAGAAGCCCTCACTGCAGAACCAGGCTACAGATTCACCAGATCTGGGGATCGTGGCCACCTGCACAATGGAGAAGAAAGCATTTATAATCATAAGTCTGATACCGAAAGCTCCTCCAATCATTCCATGGTACGAAAACACAAGAATGCTCATGCAGGAAAGAAAATTTTTAAATGTAATGAATGTGAGAAAACTTTCACCCATAGTTCATCTGTGACTGTTTGTCAGAGAATTCACACTGGTGAAAAACCCTGTGAATGTGCAGAATGTGGAAAGGCCTTCAAGCAGAGTCCCCACCTTGCTCAGCATCACAGAACACACACCCAGGAGAAATTGTTTGAATGTAAGGAATGTAGGAAGGCCAGAACGCACACCTTATTATACATCAAAGGATTCACACTGGAGAAAAACGTACAAGGGTAAGGAATGTAGGAAAGCCTTCAGGCAGCCGTCACACCTGGCTCAGCACCAGAGGATCCATACTGGAGAGAAACTCTACACATGTAAGGAATGTGGAAAAGCCTTCAGAGATAGCTCATATTTTGCTCAACATCAGAGATGTCACACTGGCAAACGACCCTACAACTGTATGGAGTGTGGGAAAACCTTCAGGTATAGCATGTCCCTTACTCGGCACTTTAGGCGTTACCATACTGGAGAGAAGACTTTTGATTGCATTGACTGTGGGAAAGTCTTCAGTGTTCACGTAGGACTTACTCTGCATAGGAGAATCCATACTGGAAAGAAACCTTACAAATGTAATGTGTGTGGGAAAGCCTTTCGCAGTGGTTCATCACTGACTGCATATCAGAGAATTCACACAGGAGAGAAGTCTTATGCATGTAATGTTTGTGGGAAAGCCTTCAGCCATCGCATGTCACTCACTGGACATTACAGAGTTCATTGTGGAGAGAAACCTTATGAATGTAAGAAATGTGGGCTTGGGCTGAGGCTCAAGTAGTAGAGCACTTGCCTGGCATGCGTGAGGCACTGGGTTCGATCCTCAGCACCACATTAAAAAAATATAAAATAAAGATATTGTGTCCACCTGAAACTAAAAAATAAATATTTTTTAAAAAAGAAATGTGGGAAAGCCTTTAGGCAGAGCATTCATCTCTCTGTTCATTTGAGAATTCATGCTGGAGAAAAGCCCTATGAATATCAGGAATGTGGCAAAGCCTCAGCTGCACTGCCCACCTGATCAGACCTAAGGGGGTTCACACTGGAGAGAAGCCCTATAGATGTACTGAATGTGGGAAGGCCTTGGGTGATGGCCCAGCCCATACTAAGCACCAGAGGTACACTGGCCTCACACTGGCCAAGGCCCTATGTCTGTGTTCAATGTGGGAAGGCGTTCAGAACAAAGCCATGTGATGACCGTCACCAGATGTCATGTTGGAAAGAAATGTTGAAGTGTGCCTGTGGCAAAGCCCTCAGCTGTTCTTCAGAGAATTCAGCCTGGAGCGAAAGCAGTGCAGGAAGCGAGGAGTGCCTTCAGCCAGACTGGACACCTCCATCTGCATGGAAGAATCCACCCTGGGGCACTGGTGAACCCAAGGAATGGGAGCCGTCTCCGACGGAGCAGTGCTGTGCTGTCCTCTGGGGCATCCGGCTCCTCCATGTTCCCCATGGCACCGAGGTCCGCAGACCCTCTGCTGAGCATCTGAGATCATCCACGTTTGGTCCCCATTGGCCTGGCCTAGGTGAAGTGCAGTGGCCTCGCCTGCACGGATCTGCAGCTGCTGTTGTCCCCTCGGGCCATTCTCCAGGCTGTAGGTAAATGTCAATGTCACCATGTTGCTCTCTTTAAAAACCCATTGCTATGGCATTTTAAGTTGTGGCACATGAAGTGCTTGGCATCACGACTGGCTTTTAATTTAGTATCTTTAAGATGGAGAACACCCTTCCCGTGATTAGGAGGCATATTTGTACACAGCACACGTGGAGGCCACAGCCCTGGGGTCACAGAATTTGAGGAGACAAGGACCCATGGGCCAGTGCCCCTGCTGGGCCCAGGGTTATCCCCACAGGGATCCTGTGGGAGTCCTGGTTGTTAGGGTTAAAGCAGGCAGGCATGAGTTCCCCTAGGTCCAGTTGTGTGAGTGGTCAGGCCTGCACAGTCATCCCGGAGGGGAGCTTCACATTTTCCGGCTGATGCTTGGATGGTCCAGTTGAAGGAAGTGTCTGCTGGACAGAACTGCTCTGAAGTTCCTGCTGGGGCATCAGCTTGAGCCGTTTGAGTGTGTTACAGAAGCAGGCTGTGCTGGAGGTGACTGACAGTCACCTTTATTGACAATGCCAAGGTGAAAAGTTACAGATATGCACCACTCTGCACGTGCTGGACCAGCGTTCTTCAGGAAAATCATTTTCAAACAGGAAACTCTGGAAAGCAATGTCAGCACTAGGTGACCATGACAATTTTGAAACTCGAGAGGTCAGATGAGATCAGGTGCGTTGGGCTGGTCTGAGTGTAGGCACAATTTTGAAAGTCTAGATGTCTCCGGATGATGATGATTGGCATGTGTATTAGCTCTGACATTCACCATGACAACACGGGCTTCGTGGCTCCTCTCAGGCCACGTTCCCTTACTGATAAACAAGTGCCAGCGCACACAGAACACGTGTTAGTAAGTGGCTAGAGCTCTGGGTAGGCTGGAACAAGAGAATCAGCATTCTGGGGGAGGAACTTATGCATGAGTATACGTAGTCAGGGCAAAAATTAAACATTAGTGACGTTTGACTGGAGAAACACAGAACCTGAGTAGTCTGGCGCTATTTTGAGGCCTGAGTTCAACATTCTAACTTCTAGGGAAACACTAAGCTGTTTAGAATATAGAAAAAAGATTGAAAAGGTTCCACTTCTTTCATGAGGCTAAGCCAAATCTTGTTACTAAACCAAGGGAAAAAATGAAATATCAGATGAATTTCATGTTAACTTTTTGTCACTGTGGCCAGAACACCTGACACTAACAACTGGAGGATTCAGACCATGGTCCTCTGGCTCCAAGGCAGAAACCCCAGGGTGGGCAGCTGGGAGGCAGAGAGGGAGGGGCTGGAGGGAGGGGAGAGCCATCCAGGGCACAGTCCAGCCAGGCCCCACCTCGAGGTATCCATTCAGCTCTGGGTCAATTGCGCCATCAGATCAGTGTCTGGGTCCCCATGGTCCAGTCAGTGCGTGAAAGGCCCGCCTCTGAGCCTTCCTGCTTTGCAACATGGGATGTGTGTAACAGGCATACGCGACACAGACACATATGTACACACACAGCTTAACAGCCCGGAAACAGCCAAGGGGAGCTGCCCAAACACACCACTCAGGTGACCACCTGGTGTTCCACTTCCTGGGGCTGCATTTGTATTAGAGACTAGAAATCCTTCTCCCAAAGTGATGCCTGTCCCCAGCATACCCAGTGCTCTGACAGGTACCGCACTTTGTGAAGGTGGTGGTGTTCCCCACCTCCACAGTTCACAGAAAGGGGCCTGGCTGTGGGCTCTGGGCGAGGCCACAGTGCGAGAGGAACCCTGGCAGAAAGGAGCAAGGTCAGCATGCCAAGCTCTCCGGGCCCTTCCTGAGTACAGGAAGGTCAAGCGCTGGACTTCACTTAGGATAGGCTGGGCCTCCACAGAGGGACATTCATCTGCACCAATAAGCAGATCACATGTGCACTCCTGAGGTGCACACTTGTAAATAAGTCCAGCCCAGTTAAAAGCTGTTCCAACCCATGAGGTCAAGTGCTGTTAAACCTACTTGGAGCTAGGAGCCAGGCGCCAAGGCACACGAACGTAATCCCTGTGGCTCCAGAGGCTGAGACAGGAGGATTTTTAGTTCAAAGCCAGTCTCAGCAACAGTGAGGCACTGAGCAACTCAGTGAGACCCTGTCTCTAAATAGAATATAAAATAGGGCTGGGGATGTGGTCAGTGGTTGAGTGCCCCTGGGTTCAATCCCTGGTACCCCCCCCCCTCCAAATAAAAAACTTTTTGGAGACTATGTCCTGCATTCTGATGTAAGTGTTGCCAGACCTTTGGAGTCTTATCCCTTCCTTCCTGTTTTGTTTTGGTACTAAATAGAGACTGGCCCCAGGAACGCTGTACCACGGAGCCACTGAGCTCTGATCTTCCCTAGCCAGCATCCCCCCGGCCTCTTTGCTACTGGAAATTCAACCCAGGATTACTCTACCTCTGAGCACTTACCTACCCCTTTTAGTTTTATTTCAACAGTCTTGCATAGGTGGCCAAGCTGGCCTCAAACTTGTAATTCTGTGTCAGCCTCCCAAGTCGCTGGGGGTGCAGGCCTGTTCCATGGGCCCGGCTCCTTCCCTAAGGTTTTGTATCAGCCTATCAGAGGACAGGTCCAAGGAGGCAATGGGACCTCAACTTAGCCCTGGGTATGTTTGTGACTTATGCCACTGAAAAAATTGCAGGAAGTGTTGGAAATAAGACATAAGCAAAGATTTAAGGACAGCAAAGCTGTACCCACCACGGAGGAAGAGCTGCGGGTGCTGGTGATGCACCTAAGACAGGCATGCACAGCCTTCCCCTTGGGAGCCACGGGAAACCTTCACGGGCTTGTCTGGACTGCTAGTAGGAGAGGTGACTTTCTGTGATTACTAGTAACTGTCTGGCAAGGAAGTCAGTAGCTGCTGCTGGGATTTCACCTTGTTTAAAAGCACGTCAGGTATGAGGCCTCAGACCAGGTACCTCTGATGGCTCCAGACTGCCTGTCACCCTGCTCTCAGACCTGGGTGTGGGACCAGCACCTGGGTACCCCTGAGGAATACCTTCCTTAACACCATTGACCTTTCTAACCAGATCCCCCAAAGAATTGCAGCCAAGTTAAGTGCATACTGAAGGAAGGGAATGGGGTGTAGACTTCTGATGCAGCAACCCAAGGTTGTGTGCACTTTCAGCCCAAGTCTAGATGTGTGGGCTGCTGTTGGGCAGGTGGAACTTGGCTGTTTCAGTCTCGTGTTGTCCTTGCTTATTTCCTGCCTAATGGAAGGAATTTCATTAAACCTGAATTTTTTTTTGGGGGGGGAAATATTTGTCAGTATGTTGAATCTGACAATTTACAAAGTATTTCCACCTATTTGACTTATCAGCATTTTGGTCCTTAGCATACACGTTTTGTTTAATTTACACTTAGGTGATTCCGGTGTCTATTTTTTGCTTTCAGTTGGACCTGGTATTGTATTTTTTATTTTGGTTTCTAAGTGTTCATTCCTTGAAGCACTTCCTTTTCCCAGTCTTTTTTCATGTGGTTCAGATTGGATAATTTCAACTGATCTCTCTTTAAATTCCCAAAATCTTTTTAAAAAATATTTATTTACTTGTAGATGAAAACACAGTAACTTTATTTTTGTGTGGTGCTGAGGCTCGAACCCAGTGCCTCACACATGCAAGGCAAGAGCTTTACCATTGAGCTCCAGCCCCAGCCCCCCAGAATCTCCTTTTATTTCCATCCTGCTTTTAGGCCATGTGATTTCACACACACACACACACACATTTGCACTGAGGATTGAACCCAAGGGTGCTTAACTGCTGAGCCACACCCCCCAGTCCTTTTTAATTTGAGGCAGGACCTTGTACCTGTGATCCTCCTGCCTCAGCTTCCGGAGTCAGTGGGATTAGAGGTGTGCCCCAGCGTGTGGGCAAGCCCAGCGAAATTCTAACATGCTGTATATTCCAGTTTAAACACATTCTTTTGATGAAGTACAATTTGTCACTGTATTGCCTTTCAGGAAAGTTCATAAACGTGTGACCAAAGTGAGACTGATGGGCTGAAGCCTTTTTCCATTCTCCAATTATAGTAGGTGCCATGTATATCTTTGTTTTTTTCATATATGTTTATCTTTGTTTTATTTATTTTATGTGGTGCTGAGGCTCGAACCCAGTTCCTCACCCATGCAAGGCAAGTGCTCAACCACTGAGCTACAACCCCAGCCCCAAAATGCTTTTTCTAATAGAAGACAAAGTCTGTGTTCTGCTGCCCACCTGCAGAACTGCCCGTGGCACTGTAATCCCAGTCTGACTTTCCCCTGGCACTCCCTTAGTACATTCTTCTGGTTGTCCGCCTGGTCTCCACTCACCCCTTTGTCTTTCCTAACAAAGCTCACCTTGTACTGGGGATCTCTTTACCCCCAGGATTCACAGGGAGCCACCTCATTCGCAGCGACAGGAGACTGTCATTGGCTTAGTCTTATTTT